GGTTGCTGCTGCCTCTATGACATGGTCTTGGATGTACTGGAGAACAAACAGAATGCAGATGCAGTATACACAAACTTTTATAAGTCCTCGATAAGTGCGACCATCGTGTAAAAACGCACAAAATGAGAGCTAAAGGGATAACGGGAAGAGTGAACAGATGGATCTTTAAGTTTCCAGCCAGTAGATCACAAAGAGTAATGGTAAACAGAGTTAATTTGAAGGATGATACAGTGAAAAGCTCTGTTCCACAAGATACAGTACTTGCCCCGAACCGTTTCCTGATCCTCATATTTGACATAGTGATGGAAATCATAGCACCGTGTCTTCTTTTGCATGAGACTGTCATCCGTCGAGGACACAGTAAATCTTCAAGCAGATATAAACTAGGTCTTCCAATGGGCCTCAGACAGCAATATGATGTTCAGTGAGGACAAATTTCGGTTACTCTGCTATGGAAAACTTGAGGAAATAATAACAAGAACGGAGTATATAACAAATACTAACCACATAATAGTGGGTTTAGCGCTAAGGTTTGATTCTCACAATAATCACTACAAAACAGAGCGAATATCTAATGTGAAGGACTTGGGAGTGATAATGTCAGAGATCTCACTTTCAAGGCTCCTTGTTACTATCACATCTGCGAAGAAAATGATAGGATGGATAATGAGAACTTTCAAAATAAGGGATGCCATGCCAGTGATCCTCTTTAATTAAGTCACTTGTTCTCTCTACTCTGGAATACTGTTGTATACTAACAATCCCCATTCAAGGCAGGCGAAATTGCTGATCTAAAGAATGCACAGAGAACCTTTGCTGCTCGTATTAGTTTAGTCAAACACCTTAATTACTGGGAACGTTTGTAGTCCTTGATCTGTAATCTCTGGAGCGTAGGCGAGAAAGATACATTTTAGTCTGAACCTGGAAAATCCTAGAGGGACTGGTCCCAAATCTGCGCAAAGAAATCACTCCCAATGAAAGCAAAAGACTCACTAGTTGGTGTAACACCAACACCCCCACCTCAATGAAAAGCAAAGGTGCCATGAGTACACTGAAAGAAAACGATAAGTGTCTGGGGCACAAGACTATTCAACAGTCACCCACTATGCAAAAGGAGAATTACCAATAGACCCCTAACTGTTTTCAACAGGGATCTGATCAGATATTTAAAATCAGTGCCCGATCAGCCGGACTGTGGTTTGTACGTTGCATTGTGTGCGGCTAGCAATACCAACCTGGTTGATCAAGCTCTGATCCATCAGGAGGCCTGATCAAGGACCGGGCCGTGAGGCATTAACTTCCAGGTAGATTATTGCCAATATATTCAATTTTGCTAAATAGATGAAACGAAACCTCAACTCCACCACCACCACCACCTGTTTCTCCTCTCCCTCACCCTCTACTGCCAGCAGGTAGCGTTTAGCTTTGGTGGGGCGCACGTGGGTGGGTTTGCGTTGTGAGCGGGTGCGTGTGGTGGGCAGGCGTGTTTCAGGCGGGCGGGCGTGTTGGCCGGGTGTGAGTTGACGACCATATTAACACTTCCGCTGAGGTTCCCCGCGATCTCTGCATCCGTCAATTCTCACAGTGTGGAGGAACGGCATATAAAAGCAAGCATGTAGGGAGAGCGTGGGGAGAGCCTGAGGAGAGCGAACGATGGGCAACGAGTACGAGAGAAATGAAGTGCGTTGGAGTGATCTGAAGTGCGTGGGAGAGACATGAAGCTCGTGGGAGAGACATGAAGCTCGTGGGAGAGGCTTGAAGTGTGTGGAAAAGACTTTCAGATATAAGCAAGAGAGTTCGGCAATTTTTCCAGCATGTCAAGATCGTTAATGACATGTAACAGTTATTAATCATCCTGACGACCTAAACACCGTCACTCCAACAATGTAATTCTCAACTGAATCGGCAAGGACCTGCAGGCTCTTCTCCTATCCCTACCTCTCTTTTCCCCCATTTGTATCTATTGAAGAAGACCTCGGATGGAAATCGAAATATACAGACAATCCTTTGTTTTCGTCTCAGTGTGGGTTGTTCTATCTTACTGATCAGAGTTCATTGCCATTTGCTGCATCAATACACACACACACACACACACACCAGCGAAGAAGCGGGACCAGGAGCTGTGAATCGACCCCTGCAACCAGATGTAGGTGAGGACAAACACACACACACACACACACACACACACACACACACACACACACACACACACACACACACACACTTTTTAAGTTTGGATCGAAGATTACATTTTTTGATGGGATACTAGGGTAAAGTTTTCTTGATTTTTATCATTACATTTTCTACGTTTTGTTATAGTCAGGTAACAAAGAATTAACTGTTTACAATGTTTCCACTGACGTGCTTTCTTTATTCTCAACAATTGCACCGTAATTATTCTTGGTGGTTCTATGACCCAGTCTGGATAACTGTCTTACACAAGCCTGGAGTACCACTGTCAACAGGCTAACTGGCACGTGCTAGGCAGGTCTTTCTCAAACTCAGTAATTTACATCGTGAAGAGATTATATTATACAACTATATAGCTGTAGCTTGCAGAGGGTGCAGGTTCGAATCCTGCTGTAGACTGAGAGATAACGTCTGTAAATAATTTCGCCCGTTTGTGAATTGTTAAGCATTTCAAAATCTCTTTCGAAGTTTACTGTGTGTGGCAAATACTCAATGCATAAAGCTCTCTCTCTCTCTCTCTCTCTCTCTCTCTCTCTCTTCTCTCTCTCTCTCTCTCTCTCTCTCTCTCTCTCTCTCTCTCTCTCTTTCTGTTTCTCCAACGAGGTAACACCGAGAGCAAGTCTGCAAACGGAAACAGATCAGTTTAGAGAAAAAAAAACAAATCACAGTCCGGAAGGTGTCCTTTTTTCACCACATTCCATCTCTAATTTGCCCCTCAGGGACCAGCAATCAGCGCGTGTTCCAGCCTGACCTCCGCTCCCACCCGGAACACCTAAACTCACACGACAGCAAAAAAAAAGAAAAAATCTAAATTTACAATGTACTCGACCAGCTGTAATCTGGTGTCTCTCTCTCTCCATTGCTACTCCCCGTCCGCCGTCTAATCCGGGGATTTATGCAGCAGGGATTAAAAATTTACTTAACCTGCACTTATCTCAATAACTTTCCGGGGCCTGGAGCACGGTTCGTGCTCTTAGGCGTTTCCTCCTGTCAGTTGATCTGTCACACCCTCCTGACCTCAACTCCACAACACCCGTGGGAAGAAACCTTCAACACTTAATACTTACGTTTGATTTTATAGCAAGCTATAAAGCACCATCTCCAACACCTCTCCCAAGACTTTTACAGCCTTTTTCTACGCTTAACTATTGCAAGTGAACGAGATTTGCATTTTTATTGGCTGTTAACACAGTATTTATCGTTTTTTGATAGCGGTGAGGCAATTAGCGCGGTGTTCCCGTACCGCACCTGGCGTCCGGCCGACACATCCGCTCTGGGTGTGATTTATTCCGTGTTGACTAAACTTGTTGAGAATCACGGGCCGCCAACACTCGCTACGGGTGCAGCAGTTTGACGAGTGATATATCGAGAACGTTGATCACCGCCTCATTACAACGGTTGGGGATAATAACCCTCTGATTTTTCTATTTAAGGGTTTGAGATAATCAATTTCTCCCGTAATTGTAAAGTTGTTTAGGTCAACTGGCGTACAATAGTTCAGGTACGACCAATTGTCACATTCTGGTGAAGGCTTATGAGTCTCACGTGATATCTTTCATTATTTCTGCGAACGTGAGGCATACCTGGAGTATACCTGGAGAGGGTTTCGGGGGATCAAAGCCCCCGGGGCCCGGTCTGTGACCAGGCTTCGCGGTGGATTAGGGCGTGATCAACCAGGCTGTTACTGCTGGCTGCATACAAGCCGACGTATGAACCACAGCCCGGCTGGTCAGGTATAGCTAAACTTACTTCAGAGCATCTACAGAACGAGAGGCAATCAGGTTTGACCCAAGAAAAAAAAAAGATAAACACAATTCTTTGGTTGACGTCAAGAGTCCTTCACAAACATCAAGGAATTAACTTTCCTTTTAAATAACCACGGAACGGATGGGGTTTCAACCCCTGGCGAGTGAATTATAAAACTCCAGGCCAGTGCGTAAGCCACTCTGCCGGTTGGCTACAGTAAATTTCATCTAACTAGGATGTAGCATTGTAGATGAATGGTTCAAAGAACCGACACGTTGTTAAATTAGACACATGTGCAACTCTTGGGTGTCTTTATTGAGGAAACGTTTCGCCACACAGTGGCTTCATCAGTCCATACAAAGGATAAACTTGAAGAACAGGAGGAGAATGAGGTAATCAGTCCCTCAGCCTTGAGTCGATGTGGTCAGTCCATCAATCTTGAATAGAATACGGCATATGAGCGGAGAAGCAGCTTATAAACCGTATGGCAGGAGAGGTGCAGCAGTCGTAGGTGGTGTCACATTTGTCCAATGTGGAAGTAGGTCGTGCAAAAGGGTTAGGCAAGCGAAGAATTTATAAGCTGCTTCTCCGCTCATATGCCGTATTCTATTCAAGATTGATGGACTGACCACATCGACTCAAGGCTGAGGGACTGATTACCTCATTCTCCTCCTGTTCTTCAAGTTTATCCTTTGTATGGACTGATGAAGTCACTGTGTGGCGAAACGTTTCCTCAATAAAGACACCCAAGAGTTGCACATGTGTCTAATTTAACAACAGGATGTAGCATAAACACCGAAAATGACGATTGTTCTCTAAATAACAGTAAGACTCTAATCTAACCTAACCTAATACGAAGCTGCGCCAGAAGCTATGAATCAACCCTTGATAAACAGAACTTGGTAAGTGCATGATATACCACTTGTAAAGTCGTCTCAGTAACGATACAAACAGTGAGAGCACTGAATAACAAACGGTAGCAACAGTAGACATTTCTAAGACGATAATATAAACAGCAGAACCCTCTCTGCTAGAATAACACGCAGGATAATAATACATACACATAACATCAACAGTGGAATATATTTTACAACATACAGGGAGAATAATTATTAAAAAGAGATATGTATAACTATGTATAACTATGTGTAGTCTCTCTCCCTCCTCCCTTCCTGGTGAAGGCAGGACCACACATCTCCCTCCCAGGACATGATGCCCTCCTTCTATGCCATCTTCATTGACATGGTGAAGGAGGAAGCGGTGGAAGGGAGGGCTCAGATTTTTGTTTTCGTGCCACAGTCTTCCAGTGTTAAGCCGAGCTTCTTGGGAGAAGTTTAAATTGTTTAATTAGATTCATTTCCAGCATTCTGCGCTGTACTTGATTTTCCATAGTTTGTTATTAATATTATTATTGCTATTATTATTATTATTATTATTATTATTATTATATTCATGGGAAAGAACTACACCCATTGGGTCAAATAGCGAATGAGGAAAAGGAAGTAATCAGGACTGATCCAAGGAGGAGCAAGAGGAGGAGGAGGATGAGGAGGAGGAGGAGGACAGCCCAAAATCCTTGAATCAAGAGCCATTCACCAACCTTGAAGGGCGAGAGTATGATAAAAACAAATCAAGTTTGGCTTCACCAGGGACTAGACAGGCAAAACATCTGTGAGGGAAACAACACTGGAAGAGGAGGGAAAGGTCATGTTTCTAAACTGGTTTTGTTGCGTCCGGTTTCCTCAATGTTTACATGTAAAAAAAAAAAAGAAGGAAACTAAAACATTGATATAGGTTCCATTTGCTTTAGTGAACCTCGCTCTCACACGGGGCAAAAAATCTTTGGTACATTAGCATCTTTGACTGCTCCTCACTGGAACACCGCCGCTAAACTGTAACATTTCCTGTCAGCTATGTACATCTTGTCTTCGTAAAAAAATATATAAAGAGTGAAAAATAACGTGTATATTTTCGAAAGAAATCGTCGTCAATTAATATGGCAGGTTAAATAGGGAGTTTTTTTTAATCATATATATATATTTTTGTTCTCATTGTTAATGTTATCATTATTCTATACATGTATACAATTTTGTTCTTAATTTTGTAGAGCCTGGTCTATACACTACATTGTTCTGTACAGTCAGATACTTAGCTAGTGAGGTGAGGATAGCTACGAAGAGTGGTGAAGGGGTTTGTTGGGTTCTGTCTCATGGCTCCTCCCACCAAGAACCTCATCCACTTTCTCTAACTTCGATTTCTCAAGTGAAGAGTCGAAGGCCTCGATAAGTACGTTTACATCCACTTGTGAAAGGCTTAGAGGAATAGTTTTGTCCATTATAAAGAAGACTTCAAATCACACAGCATCTTAAAAGATATATTTGTCCACTTAAAAAAAAGAGCCATCAGAAATGTCTTTTTTCCAAGAAATGGATGTTAAGGTACATGAGATTCTAAGAACCAATGTTAATATAAACCGAAGCACTTCTATAATTTTCTTCAGCTGTTCATCACCACTGAGTGTTGGATTAGGAGCCTAAATACCATCACGGGTTCACGGAAATCATAGTTTACATTGAACTCGAAGACACAGATGGCCCCAGAGAGCATTGTTCGAATCAAACTCGACAAAAGGGGTCGTTGTTCACTGTTATTTCACAAGATAGCTTCATCGCAAAACATTTTTTTTCTTTTGCGTCATTTCGAAGCCTTGACAGGGGTCGTTTGAAGCCTCGTTGTCGGAGGCTTCGAATTGTGTACTACTTTGTTGTCACTGACTTCGAGCGCATTTTTTTTTTCTTATTTCGTATGTAGTTTCATGCCTGACTGTCAGGACTCATCACGGCGGTCTTTTGACTTATATCTGGCTTGGTTTTTATCTCCGTGTTCTCCTCCTTCGTCATCAGCACTGCAGCAGACCACGGTGATGGCGTCTGGTAGAGCCGGTGGTGAGCTGGAGGTGTTGGTGGAGGCAGCACGGAGGGAGGTGTTGGAGAGAAGCTATGAGGGAGGAGTGTTGGGGTGCGACAACTCTAAGGGACAAGGGATGTTGGTGAAGGAGCAGCTTTAACGGATAAGTGTTGGAGAAGGGACGCAGATGAGGTAGAAATAGGGTTAGGGAAGGAGTAATTTTGGTGGAGGAGTGGTGAAGGAGGAAGAGACGGCGCTGAGGTAGAAGGGTTGCTGGAGAAAGAATATTTCTCAAAGAGGAATGTTGAAGGAGGGACAGTAATTAAGGAGGCGTAACGGAGGAGAGGCAGCAATGAGGCAGGTGTGTTGAAGGGGCAGTAAGGAAGGAGGAATGTTGGAGAAGGGACATCTCTACGAGGAAGGTGTGTCAGGGAATTATATCTCTCAGGAGAGACTCAGGGACGTGGAGGAGAAGGCGCCTGCGGTGAGGGCCTCACCCCGCCCCCTGAACTACCCCCACTCGTGGAGACCGCGGGCGTGGGCGAGGATGCTGCTGCATGGGCGTGGGGAGGTAGCAGGGAGGAAGTGAGGGAGGAGAGAGATGAGGATAGTGAGGAGAGGGATGCTGGGGATAGAGCCGAGAGCTGCGGCAGGTGTGCCAGGGGTGAGAGAGCCGCCGCGGTGCCGCCCGCATGCGGCGGCGGGCACAGGTAAGGGTAGTAGCAGTAGGGTGGGATACCCAATGAGCTGAGGGAGCTCAGTGAGCTGAGGGAGCTGAGCGTACTGAGGGAGGCGAGGGACGGGAGGAGGAGAGGAGGTCGTGGGAGACCCTCGTCTGGACCGTGAAGAAGTTGGTCGTCTCGCATTAGAACCTGCGGGGAGAGAATGGTGGTTGTAGTGGTAGTACTGGTGGTGGCAGTGGCAGTGGTGGTGGTGGTGGTGCTGGTAGATGGTACTGATGATATTGATGGTGTTGTTAGTTTTATTGATGAGGGAAATGATGGTGATAGTGGGAGAGGGAGTGCTGATGATAGTTGTAGTGGTGAGGTTTGGTGGTAGTTGTAGCGGTGGTGATGGTGGTAGCGGTGGTGGTAATTGTGGTAAATTATTAACCCCAATTACCTGGAAAAGTATCAAAATTACTTTTCTAAATCATCAAACATCGTTACCTTTTTACACTGTTGAATTTGCAGGTCGTATTATCGTGTGAACAAAACATTAATTAATAAAAGAGAGAGAGAGAAAGAGAGAGAGAGAGAAAGAGAGAGAGAGAGGGAGGGGGGACCATGACACACAGAGACTATTTTCACGGTCCAGTAACATACCTAAGGACCCTTAATAGCAAACGGAACCATGCAAGTAGTAAGGGACATTATGGAGCTATGAGGGACATTGTGGAGAAGTGAGGAACATTGTGGAGCAGTGATTGGAAAAGATAGACAGACACAGGCAGGTGGAGGCAGACAAAGGTGGAGGAAGACAGATACTGATAGGTTATAAGGACAGACAGACACGGACAGATGGCTGAGACTCACCTTGACAGCCACTCGTCTACCAGAGGAAGGTGGTTCGCAGGCCACTAGCTGTTTCCTCTTGGTCTTGTAGCGGCGGTTCTGGAACCATATCTTCACCTGAGAGGACAGAGGGGAGGGACAGGACGGTTAGAACTGCTTCCATACCTGACAGATCAGACACTGGACGGTGATTAGCTGTCCAGTAATGTTCTGAATGACCCCACACACGGGTTTATAGCTTCGTGAAATACGATACCGTGCTTAATTGTTGCTGAACTGGTAGTTTAGGGTTGGTTCACTAAGAGTTAAGAGATTGGAGTGGGATGACGTACAGATTCAGTTCCAATTCTCTGCTGGCGTTCCCGTTGGTTTACTGTTGGTTCCTCTATTGTTTCACTTTGAATTTCATTGTTGTTATATTTTGATAAACACCGTGTTCGAACCCCAGTGTGTATATATATGTCGTGCCGAATAGGTAAAATTGGTCAATTAGCAAGAACTCATTTAAAATTAAGTTCTTTTTACAATTTCCTGTTATACGTTTAAAGATATTTTTTTCATTTCTGTTAACATAAAAATTTATAATTTTGTACCAAAAGAACCTTTGAAAACTTACCTAACTTTATTATAAGAAGTGCAATTTAATTTAGCCTAATCCAACTAAATATATTTCAGTTAAATTTACACTAATTTAATAATAAACAAACACAATGAAATATATTTTTTTCGTTAGGTTCAGAATGATTTTTGCGAAATTAATTCATACACAAATTTTCGCTTGTCTTATTAGGCAAGAAGAGCGTTGCTATTTAAGCCAAAATAGCAAGTTTTACCTATTCGGCACGATATATATATATATATATATATATATATATTATATATATATTATATATATATATATATATATATATATATATATTTATACTACCTACATTAATTATATTAGATACATTACTGTCATAATAAGAGAGCCACAAAACGCCAAGCTTGGAGGGAAAACCTAAAATTGAATGAAATATGTGTTTGAGCTGATAAATATCAGTTTGTTATGGATCTACTTAATCCTGTGTTCCGCTCAACCTACTTAACGTTTTTGAAGGAACAAAAAAGGGGAGAGAAGAGGGAGGGGAGGGGTGGGAGAGGGGAAGTGAAGGTGGGAGTTCGGAAAGGAAGGAGAGGCGAGAGGAAGGTAGGAGAGCGGAGAGGGAAGGAAAGAAAAGGGGAGGGGAAGAGAGGGAGGAAACGGGAAGAGAAGGGAGGAGAGGGAATGGGGAGGTAGGAAAGGGAATTGGGGAGGGGAGAAAGAGGAGGCAGGGAGAGGAGTGGAGGGAAGAGAACTTAGAGGGAAGACAAGGATAAAGAGGAGAAAAAAGAGCGAGACGTAAGAAGAGAGAGATGATAGTGAGTGAGTGAGAAGGGGTAGAGGAAAACGGGTCATGAAAGGAATAAGGGAGTCGAAGGAATGAGACAAAGAGAAAGAAAGAGAGAGAGAGAGAGAGAGAGAGAGAGAGAGAGAGAGAGAGAGAGAGAGAGAGAGAGAGAGAGAGAGAGAGAGAGAGAGAGAGAGAGAGAGAGAGAGAGAGAGCTGATGTAGGTAACAGCTCTTAGCTTGCCAATAAAGCTAGGAATCCTTAACCTGTAAATAGCTTGTCAATAAAGGTAGGGATCCTTAACCTTGTCAAACCCTGTGTAAAAAAAAAAAAAAAAAAAAAAAAAAGAGAGAAGGGAAGAGGAAATAGGTGGAAACAGAACGATATGGGAGTTGGAGAGAAAAGAAGTGAAAGTAGGAAGTTGACTGAACAGAGTGCAAGAGAGGGAAGGAGAGGAAGTGAGAGGCAAGAGAGGAAGTGGGAACGGGAAGGGAGAGAAGGGAGGGGAAGGGGAGGGAGGGTAGGGAAGGGGAGAGGAGAGGTAAACCATAACCTGCCTCACCAACCATATTAAAAATCCTTCCTAACTGCTTAAATTATCCAACACCCTGTATCAGACACAAAGCTATCAAACATCCTGTATCAGACACAAAGCTATTCAACACCCTTTATTAAACACTCTTTATTAGACAAAAAGTTATCCCACACCATTTAACTGTGAGAAAAATATGCGTCACTGCTATAGGATACGAGGTTAATTTCTTCTCCTTGAAAGTTCACCATAAAACCTGAAACTGACTTAGAAATCACATAATCGTCTCCGAGACAGATTACTACAAAGTTACTTGGACTGAGGAAGCTACTTATGGCGAATATTTTGAACTACGAGATGAATATTTTGAACTACGAGATGACACGAGTGTGGTAGTGTGGTAGACAATTACCTGTTGCTCTGTGAGTTTGAGCGCCTGGGCGAGGTCGGCTCTCTCAGGCCCTGAGAGGTACCGCTGGTGCGCGAAGCGTCGCTCCAGTTCGAAGACCTGGGCGTGGCTAAACGCCGCCCGACACCGTTTCTTCCGAGGTGCGCGTTCCCCCTCAGTCGAATCTCCTGAAGCCGGGGGAGAAAAAAAAGGAAAAAAAAAAAATGTTTTATTTGTAAGATTCAGTATGGGAGAGGGGTAGGAAGCGGTAAGCTCATAGGGGCTACATAACGCCTTGGGGGGGGGGATAGGGAAACTGAGCAAGTAGCTCCAGTTTAATGGATCAAAAGTCCTCACTAGCATCAAATCATCCCATCTTCCACTCTTGAAGGAATGACAGCTGAGATCTCTGAGAACGATGGTGACCGGTGGAGAAATTAAGCCGTGAAACCACGACTACATCAATTCACAAAACTTTCAAAACATCAACGGTGTAAATCAGACAACTGTGGAACATCTGCACATATCTTTATTTCAAAAAAAAAAAAAAAAGATACCTAGAAGCTGCACACTTAGTAGAGGTTCAGGTCACGTGACTGAGGCTTTCCGCTGGGGTACCCGTCCACCCTGTAAAATAATTAGGAGGATGTGTCAACCGGTTGAGGTGCCAGCCAGTTGAGGTACCAACCGGTTGAGGTGCCAACCGGTTGAGGTGCCAACCAGTTGAGGTGCCAACCGGTTGAGGTGCCAACCAGTTGAGGTGCCAACCGGTTGAGGTGCCAACCAGTTGAGGTGCCAACCAGTTGAGGTGCCAACCGGTTGAGGTGCCAACCAGTTGAGGTGCCAACCAGTTGAGGTGCCAACCGGTTGAGGTGCCAACCAGTTGAGTTGCCAACCAGTTGAGGTGCCAACCAGTTGAGGTGCCAACCAGTTGAGGTGCCAACCAGTTGAGGTGCCAACCGGTTGAGGTGCCAATCGGTTGAGGTGCCAACCAGTTGACGTGCCAACCGGTTGAGGTGCCAGCCGGCTGAGATGCCAACCAGTTGAGGTGCCAACCGGTTGAATTGGCAACCGGTTGAGGTGCCAACCGGTTGAGGTGCCAACCAGTTGGGGTACCAACCAGTTGAGGTGCCAACCGGTTGAGGTGCCAACCAGTTGAGGTGCCAACCAGTTGAGGTGCCAACCAGTTGAGGTGCCAATCGGTTGAGGTGCCAACCAGTTGAGGTGACAATCGGTTGAGGTGCCAACCAGCTGAGGTGCCAACCGGTTGAGGTGCCAACCAGTTGAGGTGCCAACCAGTTGAGGTGCCAACCGGTTGAAGTGCCAACCTAGGCTATCTGCCAACAAATTCGCGATATTTCAGATCATCTTTTCTCAGCTCTTCCTTAGTACATCCAACTGGTTTAAAGACGTATTTTGAAACTGTTGTTTAAGACTATTGTCAACTTGTTAAGACGTACAGAGATAGTATTATGACCTACGTAATATGTCAAGGAGTCTTATTAATGAAATAAGATACTTGATATTTTAAGCATATCTGTTAAATTTGCTGGCAACAGATGACACAAATGTTACGTATTTAGATGTACTCCTGTTAACTCTTTTGGGACCTACCTGGAGTCTACCTGGAGGTTATTCCGGGGTTCAACGCCCCCTAATTTTTTTGTGTATCCGTATGTTTTTGTGCTACCCTCCATAGGATGCATATGAGGTGCACAATAAACCAGCAACTACCATCCACAGGATCGATATGAGGTGCACAATAAACCGGCCACTACCATCCACAGGATCGATATGAGGTGCACAATAAACCAGCCACTACCATCCACAGGATCGATATGAGGTGCACAATAAACCAGCCACTACCATCCACAGGATCGATATGAGGTGCACAATAAACCAGCCACTACCATCCACAGGATCGATATGAGGTGCACAATAAACCAGCCACTACCATCCACAGGATCGATATGAGGTGTACAATAAACCAGCCACTACCATCCACAGGATCGATATGAGGTGCACAATAAACCAGCCACTACCATCCACAGGATCGATATGAGGTGCACAATAAACCGGCCACTACCATCCACAGGACTGATGTGAAATCAGCTCCTTCTACGGCAAACTCTACTAATTTCCGTAAGAAACTAAACTGTCTTTAAGGAATGAAATGATCATCTCTTAGACACTCACGTAGTGACCAGTAACTGGATGGGTGACCCAGACACGACTTACCGTCACCAACAACATGCCGTGTATGATTTGCAGACCAGGCTTTGTTGCGTTTAAATGTCGCACGAACTACGTGTAACAATTTCACGTTCGTAAAATTGTTTGGAAGTGAAAATAATGTCGACGTCAAATTGAATTGTCGATTTCCACTTCACTGATCAATGTATATATGGTATGTATGTTTTTGTGTATGTGTTTAGTATGTATGAGAGTATACTCGTATAAAAATACAACAGTGAAAAGTATTACGATATGTGAGTCACCACATCAAAACTCAGTTTTTTTTTTTTGTTTTTTTTTTTTCACTCTGGTAGTTTTATTCATTATTAGTTGCGCGACTATTGTGATTTCCTCTGTGTACACTTGTATGGATCGATCAAACTGTTAGAGGAGTAACTGTCTTACAAAACATTATGATACCTTTCATGTGTATATAACGTGTTATGAAGAACACTTCTCACAGAGAACACACAGCAGCCGTATATAACGTGTTATGAAGAACACTTCTCACAGAGAACACACAGCAGCCGTATATAACGTGTTATGAAGAACACTTCTCACAGAGAACACACAGCAGCCGTATATAACGTGTTATGAAGAACACTTCTCACAGAGAACACACAGCAGCCGTATATAACGTGTTATGAAGAACACTTCTCACAGAGAACACACAGCAGCCGTATATAACGTGTTATGAAGAACACTTCTCACAGAGAACACACAGTAGCCGTATATAACGTGTTATGAAGAACACTTCTCACAGAGAACACACAGCAGCCGCATATAACGTGTTATGAAGAACACTTCTCACAGAGAACACACAGTAGCCGCATATAACGTGTTATGAAGAACACTTCTCACAGAGAACACACAGCAGTCGCATATAACGTGTTATGAAGAACACTTCTCACAGAGAACACACAGCAGTCGCATATAACGTGTTATGAAGAACACTTCTCACAGAGAACACACAGTAGCCGCATATAACGTGTTATGAAGAACACTTCTCACAGAGAACACACAGCAGTCGCATACCAGCAGTAGGACGCAGGCTACGATCAACAACTCATCAACGTCGAGATCATTACAAGCGCCATCACAGTCACTAAAACACCCACCGTAATGTTCAGTTTACACCCTTGTTGCAGAGATAATATTCCCCGGCATTGGTTTTACGAGGTAGTTAAATTTATATGATATAATTGAAGGTGCTAAAATGTGTTAGGATATACGTAAATTATTATGTGTGTGTGTGTGTGTGTGTGTGTGTGTGTGTTTGTCCTGAATTACCTTATTTTTATTATCGGTATTAAATATCACTGATCATTTATCGACTACTAAAACTCGTAATTACCAATGTAATTCTTGCGTGGCGTCAGGAAAGCTTGATTATAGTTACTTTACAATTATATTTGTGAGTCGCAACGCTTCATAAGAGTTGAGAAAACGTAATTGCATTTACAAATGAAGACTGAATGGCACGGGAGAGTAATTTTTGAATTACATTATTATTACTTTTTCGTTATCCAGTATAATAATATAATAAGAGATCTTTAAAAATAGACGTATTTTTCAGCTGTCGATTATATTAGAAAATTATTATTATTATTTATTATTATTATTATTATTATTATTATTATTATTATTATTATTATTATTGTTACATATTATAATTATTTTGTTGTCCTTATCATAGGGAATTAATGGGAGGCACCAGAGTTTGATCTAAAAGGAGGAGGGGTAGTCCCAATCCCTTGGATCAAGATCCCTCTCCCCCCCATCCTTGAAGGGATAATTACTCTCACAGATTAATTACTGTTTTTAATGTGACTGTCTTGAGTAAGGTTGAACGGTTATTAGGTAGTCATGAGCGAGGTAGTTACAGTCTTGGAGCCCTGATTGGCCCTTTATGTAAGCAGGGCTGTTTAGGGTAGGGGCTAATCATCATTGCCTCCTTGTTAATCACGGATGGTAGTTAGCTGGGGAATGGATGGGGAGGGAACTATCATCATTAATTCTCTCTTCCATAGCCTTTAGTGAGGAAGAAGTTTAACGACGTATTTTAGTGCATGTTTAACGAGGTATATCAGTATAGATTTTAATCGAATTAGTTCAACAGGTCAACAGGGAAGAGGTTTAATGAGGCTATTCATCGGAGATATACAACGAGGCAATGCAATGTAGATGTTTAATGAGGAGGTGTATAATGAGTTTAATGGAGATGATTTCGTTACTCGACAATTTATCTAATTACCCGGGAAGGTGACCTAATGACACGGGGAAAGTGACTTAATTACCCGAGAGGGTGACTGAAAAATAAAACGCAAGAGGGTAACGCGGCCGTTGTATTACGCGTGATTCACCACGGTACGCAAAGACGTGCGTGAGTTCCGCTAGTGAACACGGCACGAGAGTCCCGTGTACGTACAGGAAGTCCCGTGCACGCATCGCTGAGCACGTAGCGAGGACCACGACGACAATACCTTACGTAAACGACACACACAAATTACTTTACGATACTCTAAAGTTACGATATATTTTGATATCCTCACAAGACCACGATAATAATAACAGTAATTGTTTTCATTATTATTATTATTATTATTATTATTATTATTATTATTATTATTATTATTATTATTATTATTCCATAGCAGTTACAGCCAATTACGGAAACGTGTCAAATTGGGCCCTATTTTAAGTGTGTAATGAGAGGTTGGTTCGTGTCGTGATAGTGGTCACCCCTTCAACAACTGGCCTGACCAAACGGAGTTTAACCTCGGTGATCGAATAGCCATTTTTTTTTTATCTGCCGTGCGTGTGAAAATGCACGCTCGGTATTTGGATGTATACCCTGCCCTGCCAGACGTAAGCGTACTGTCGTTTTTTTTTTTTCGTTTCGTTATATTTTGATATTCTTTGTAAATTATATAGGATGACCAGTCAGGTCACTGATCAGGTCGCTGGTTTCATTCACCAGAACACTGACCAGGTAACTAGGTCACTGAGTAGGCCACTGACCAATTCACTCACCATTTCATTTACCAGGTCAATCACCAGGTCACTGATCAGGTCATTGACCAGGCCACTCACCAAGTCATTGATGAGGTCCCTAGGTCTCTAACAAGGATCACTCGCCAGGTCACTAACCAAGTCATTCACCAGGTCACTGACCAAGTGATTCTCCAGGTCACTGACCCGTACACAGGTCACTGTCCAAGGTCCCTGATCAGGTCACCCTTCAATCATTGTCCTGGTCACAAAACCGGCTACTAATGCGGTCCATCACCAGGTCACTCACCAATTCACTTCTCAGGTTACTAATCAGGTCACCAAATAATGTAAAATACAATAGGACGGCGGAACATACTTTAATTAGGTTCCGAAATATTATTTATTATGCTATAAATAATATTTCGGAGCCTAATTATTTTTTTTCGAAATATATCATACAATAAAATAACCCGTTAACTGACATTCCAAAATTACCTTAGAATTAGAGAATAGAATTAGAATTGACCTACAGAACATCCTTCACTTGAAATTTATTCACTAGACAGTCGAAATTATTTTCGATAGTTATTTTCAATATATTCGGTAGACTATTGATAGACTATAGATGTATTGATAGATAGTTTTCAGAAATAATCACATTCGTTATAGACTAACTCCCGCGATCAATATTTTCTCGATCAAAAGTTAGAGACACGCAGAACGTCAGAGAAACGTAGAACGTCAGGGAGACGTCGAACGTCAGAGAGACGTCGAACGTCAGGGAGACGTCGAACGTCAGGGAGACGTCGAACGTGAGAGAGACGTCGAACGTGAGAGAGACGTCGAACGTCAGGGAGACGTCGAACGTCAGAGAGACGTCGAACGTCAGAGAGACGTCGAACGTCAGGGAGACGTCGAACGTCAGGGAGACGTCGAACGTCAGAGAGACGTCGAACGTCAGAGGGACGTCGAACGTCAGAGAGACGTCGAACGTCAGAGAGACGTCGAACGTCAGGGAGACGTCGAACGTCAGAGAGACGTCGAACGTCAGAGAGACGTCGAACGTCAGAGAGACGTCGAACGTCAGGGAGACGTCGAACGTCAGAGAGACGTCGAACGTCAGAGAGACGTCGAACGTCAGGGAGACGTCGAATGTCAGGGAGACGTCGAACGTCAGGGAGACGTCGAACGTCAGAGAGACGTCGAACGTCAGAGAGACGTCGAACGTCAGGGAGACGTCGAACGTCAGAGAGACGTCGAACGTCAGGGAGACGTCGAACGTCAGATGATACACGTTTGTGAGTGGAACCGGAAATAGGATTCAGAACAGGATGAAGAAATGGATATTTTTTTTTTTTTTTTAAATTTGAAATAGGCTGTACAACATGCAAAAATCTTGGGCAGATTCTTGAAAATGAATTTAAAAAAATCTATCAGAAAGGCACACCCCACTTTACAAAATTTAAAAAAAAGGCCATAAATGGCACAAAATATTTTTTTTATATCATGGCAAAGGACGCTGACGCATGAACAATTTATAATCATAAACCAGAAAGGCCTCAACATGGTAAATAAAATAGGCTTTGACTAAAAAAAGAGTAGGACTATAACTGGAAATAGGCTTAAGTCAAGAAATAGGCTCTATTAGACTGGAAATTTATTTTAGAATGACGTCATCAATTTTTTTTATTTCCTACAAGTGAAACAGAATTTAAAATTATGTATAGAATGAGATTTATGACCTGCCATTTTAAAAAGGCTTCAAAATATTTTAAACGTTACTTATAAATTACATAGGAAAATGGATTCTGAATGATGCAGGTAATACACACACAAAAAAAAAATACACTGGAAATAGGCTTTGAAATTCCAAAAGAGATAGGATCTAGAATAAGAGACAGACCTTAGAAAGGAAAATGGGCTTTATAATTGAACTGGAAATAAGCTTTAAGAGAAAGGAAACAGGAACTTCAGTAAGAAAGAGATTATGCATTAGAATGACACATAAATAGGCTATAAACTGGAATAAAAAATAGGCTTGATACGACGCAGTAAATAGACTTTCAAATTACACGTGAAATAGGCTTTCAAAATTCCTGACTCGTGTTAATTCAAATGACACAGGAAACAATATACATGCTTTCGAATTTGAATGAAATAGACTTTGAAAATAGACAAGGAAATTTTCTTTAAGTACAATACGGACACTGAATGCGTATTACATGGATCATTATTACATTCATGGTGAAGCTATAAGGCCATACAGAGCTTTAGGACCGATATGGGATCGGGTTTCATTCGTGGAAAGTTCGGGCAACTCCGATTGTTTTGTTCAAGAGCCTCACACCGGGTACAATTGCCAGGTGATATCAGGAGATTGTAAATACAGTGGTTGAGACTCTTCTCACCTTTGCCTTCAGTGGAGGCGCTGTCTTGGGCGGCAGTGTGGGTAGCGTCTTCTCGATCACTGTGTTCGGTGTCCACTTCTTCCATGCTCATCTCCGAGCAGGGCGAGGTCGATCTGCTTCTCCTTCCTAGCAAGCTGTAGCCTTCAGGAGAGGACGTTGCCTCTCGGGCCTCCGTCGGCCGGGTGTTGCAAGCTCCTGTAGGCCCTCCCGAAGACGGCTCGATCGAGGAACTTACTTCCGGATGGATGGCGTCCTTGGAGAGATCCATGGGCGAGGGTGAGTTGTATTTGAGCACAGATACTGGCCGAAAACCCAAGCTGGGAGAGCTTCGCAGGTCAGCCAGGCTCCTGTGGTGCTCCGGGGTGCTCCGTAAGTCAGATGGGGAACGGTTCTCCATACGAGTGAGAATGTCGGTGATGGAGAAGGGTGTGACGGAGGCCGTAGTCTGTGTCTGACTATCGGGAGAACCGGGCTTTTCCATCTTGATCAAAGTCTCCATAACAGTAAGATATTTCCTCTCATATACATAAACGGTCGTCAAGGAACATCACAACGCGGGTTACCACCGGCTACAACAAAACTTTTCTCGCTTGCACAATCGTCCCCTCAAACCATCGTGAAGATGATGAACGTAAACAAGTCCACAAACTTTCCCAAAAGTCCAGCACTGACAAGGGGCCACAAGTTGCAAGTGACGCGGTTGGCCAAGGCACGTGTGGGAGCCCTCTTCCCAAGCCCTCAAATTCCCGTGTGTTTCCCCTCAGCCCTCACCAGAGAGTGTGAGGGTCGGTGGGCGTCGCTGCTGCCAGGGAGGGGAGCGAGGCAGTGGGCAGAGTCTGCGGTTCAGACTATTTGTACTCTAATTGGTTCTGTCACTTGCTTCCCTCTATCTCTTCCCCAGATGCTACAGCTCCATTAGTCCCACGCGACCAACTTCAAAACTCATCAGGGCTTACCGAGCACCAAGCAGTTGCCAAGTCCCTCGTTGAAACTCTTTATTATAGCCACTAGAAATAATACTTCCCTGTTTATATTATTTTCCTTCCATGTAAAATATCACATAACAAAAACTATTAGATTTAATTTTAACTGGGAAGGCACTGATTTCATAAATAAATTACCAGCGTGTCTTCTGCAGACTCTAGCAAGAATAATAAGTTACAAGGGGCGGTCTTTAGGAGAGCCAACCAGCTCACGAGGCTTGATATGAGGGGAGAGGCTGGGCGGAGCCTCTATCACAGCGAGGGGAGGTGCCGGTTGAGGCATAAATCAGGGATTATAATTGTTGTTATGCTTGAGTCTCCCCCTCATTTTCTCGCGAGTGTATACGGTTATATGCTAAAAACCAATTGTGTTTTCTTCGATATAAGAAGAATATCTCAAAAAACTTAATTAATGCGGCCAAGAAAGGAGGGGAAAAAAATCACAAAAATGCTATATCGACCATACCGCGAACTGAAACACACAACACACACAACACACACACACACACACACACACACACACACACACACACACACACACACACACACACACACACACACACACACACACACACACACAGAGGCGAACAGTTACGGGGGTGGGGAGGAGGCAACACATCGATTCTAAATATTCAAAGAGTTTACCCTGTGAATATCCGGCATGAATACCAGACCCATTAAATTAACACCCAGGATGGGAGAGGAGGTGGGGGAGGAGGTGGGGGAGGAGGGAAGGAAGGGAGGAGGGCCAGACGGCGCTCCTTCGTCTTGAGAAAAGAATGAAAAAAAAAAACTGATCTTGTTGCAAAAGAGAAGCGAAATCAATTGGAAATTTATTAATGGCGCGAGCATTGAGGTGGCGAGGATGACAATGGCATCACGTGTAACCACCGACTCGCTTCGACCGTCGATTTTTTTTTTATTTCTCTCTCAAACTCGTGTTAAATCACTCTTGGCGCCCTATCGTGAATTACATTTAGGGGGGGGGGATTAAACCGTTCGTTACACATGAAAAGAGACCATTACTGGAACGAGGCCGGACCCGTCCACAATTATCCGGAGAACAGTTCTGTATAAGTTGTATCATGTACTTATAGAAATAAAGATTATTATTATTATTATTATTATTATTATTATTATTATTATTATTATTATTATTATTATTATTATTATTATTATTATTATTATTATTATTATTATTTATTATTATTAGTATTATTATATATTATTAATTTTATTTTATTATTTTTTGCGATTTATCAATATTATTACATATAATATGGAAGCTTGAGTCGACGTTAGCTTTGCTAAAGAAGTGAGGACGGAACTTTCGATTCTTGCTTTGAAATATTACGACTATCAAGGAGTAGTAAAGAGAAAAAAAATGATAATGAGAGGGGTAAGGAGAGTGGGGTTGGAACAAGTGAGGGGAGAGAGAGAGAGGGGAGAGGAGAGAAAGGAGGAGCAGCGAAGGGCACCTCCTCTAGCGGATTAAACATTGATCTTTAAACATTGATCGTCACACAAGACAGGAGTCTCGGGCACTGGCCGCGGTGCCTGTGGTCAGCGATCACACACCGAATTACCTTATTACCCGCACGACCCGCAAGAGGGGAACGACGGGAGGTTAAAAACAGGGCTTTTTGCTGGAACACACTAGAGGGAGAGGACGTGCTATGTATCCTGCAGTGTGTCCTCTTGTGTGTGTGTGTGTGTGTGTGTGTGTGTGTGTGTGTGTGTGTGTGTGTGTGTGTGTGTGTGTGTGTGTGTGTGTGTGTGTGCGTGTGTATGTGTGTGTTTGTGTATGAGAGGGTCCTTGAGTGTATATGTATGATTGTGTATGTAGTTGGCACGACTTTTCCTTCAGACAGATTTAGGAAGATTTCCCAGGCATCTTCCTGCCACTTCACCACTTGCAGATTCACTGACAGCGATTCCTATAAACCTGTCAGATATGTATCTAATTCATTCAACGCAAGGAGTGGCGGAGGCTCGATCCACCGTCCGCTAATCGTCCTGCCACAGAGCCTATAAGCCTAAATTAATAATCCCTCAGAGCCACAGCAGAGATCTTATAGATAGTAAACAGACCCACTAAACCGTCATCCTTCATATATAATATATAATAATTATATATATATATATAAAATATATAATATATTATAAATATATAATATATATATATATTATTATATATATATATATAATATATATTATATTATAAAAAAAAAGTTCAAAAGTTATTGCGTGACATTGTATTTTTTATGAAAATATTAAAGTAGAAGCAAGATACGTGCGTGATTCCACGATAGAGGATCAACGACAATTAAAGCAACGAAAAACAAATAAGATTTAATACCCTAACAAAGAACTCTGAAAATCAAGTGTGACGAAGCGCCAGACACACATGACCAACACACAAATAACAAATATATATTTCACCAGCGTTGGGAAATCTGGGGGGGAGAGAGAGAAGAGGAGAGGAAAAGAGAGAGAGAGAGAGAGACAGAGAGAGAGAGAGAAGCGCTAATTTTCAGCAGCCGGAGAAACTTTAAAATAATATTTTAACAATATGGATGAAACATAATCCCTTTTCGTCTCCTGTGTGGCTTAAGAAGAGTGTGCGCGCGCGCGGGCGTATCTCCCTCTGGCTACCCAGCCTGTCTCTCGGGTCTTCGTGAAACCTGAGCAGGTAAAGCAGGTAACGCCTCAAACACGTAATTACTGCTTTTGGGTGCAATGCATAATCATAAATTAAAACTAATTCCTGTAAATTCCCTGTTAGAATGACGGCCTAATCCGTTATTCGTCTGACGGGAGGGAAGGAAGCAATCTTTTATCTGCACCACCAACGCCACCTAAGTGTAAGGGATAAAGGAGGATAGACGAGACAAGGGAATTGAAAATTAGGGCCAAGGTAAGGCTGTGATCAGGACCGTAATCCTCTTGCGTCCGCCGCCACAGTGACTCGGGAGTGCCAACGGTAAGGGGAAGGGAGTGCCAACGAGAATATAGAGGGGGGAGGGAAGGAATAGTATTATGATGGCTTAGGGGACGGTGGTAATGGACAGGAGGTGGAGGAGAGGATATGGCAGGGATTACAAGGGTGGATATAGTGTTTATGTGTGGTACTGTACTGGATATAGTGTTTGTGTGTGGTAGTGTACTGGATATAGTGTTTGTGTGTGGTACGTGATGTACTGGAGTGGGCCAGGGCGGCGAGGATTGTGTAGAATTGATGTCCGTCCTTGTTATACCTTAGGCCTACAGGAAGATAAACTTGGTAGACAGGGTAACTTAGCCTAAGAGCGATTGTACGGCTGTGGGATGTCTGACTTCACAACACCTGGGATGCTGACACAGCCGGATGATCCGTGTCTGATGCTACATCAGGAGAGAAACACGAAAATATTATCTCGAATGTTATAATTTATAAATGGTTCTAGCTATAATGATGGGCTGGCAGCGCAGAAGTTGCCTCCCACTGTCTGAAGTCGACCACTGAATAGGCAAAAGTGTCACCCACTATTGCGACCCCTGAATGGGTCACAATGTATATAATGTATATTACCTGTTCGTATAATTTTATGTTGCTTATATTTGCGATATTAACTAAATCGTAAATATATTGCTTTATATTATTATTTGACTTAGTTATATTAGGTAGGATGTAACATTTATATATTATTCAGTGTTCATAGTTCGAGTGTTAAGTAGCTGACAGCATTGTCTAACTACTGCAATTATCGCTCCGCATGTTTCTCTGCTGGCTTCTCTGTAGTTGCTGGGCAGCAGCAGTCCACGGAGAGTCACGTGATCAGGGTGGGGTGATCACACCTTACCCGGAGTGAGAGTCGGCCTGGCCTGCGCTGATTATTGTCAGTTTGACGTTGTTTCTAACAAGAGGTCCTTCTCCAGCTCCCCATTGATGGTCCTTGTTGGAAGATCGTCTCTGTCGCTTTCTTGTTGTTGGTTCTGTGTAACTCTGTTCACAGAACATAGCCTAGACTTAGTGATTTTCGACGTTGTACTGAAGTTGTGTGTCTCATAGACACTCTAAGAAACTCAGGTCCTGAGCTGTAGCTTCTGACCTAATTTGTACTGGTATCTGTGTACTGTCACAGTCGGGGATTTTCTAATGCTGAACTTAGATTCAGTAGTATGGGAGTTTTGTGACTTTTGTGGAGGATCTGCAGATGGTCCCTACTTAGTGTCGTTATATTATCTCCTTGTTCCTGATTCTGTGTCGCTGTTGCTTGTTATATTGCTGTTCGGCTTATCAGTCGTTTTATTGTTCAAGCAAGCTGTTCTGATTGCCAGGTTGGTCAAGAAGTTAGTTTATGTGAGGACTTTTAGTCAGTCACTGGTTAAGTCTAGTCGAGTCTTGAGACATAGCGAACTACTTAGAGCACTTACACACATACACACAAACTTACTTGTATATATTTGTATTATGTTATTAAATGTTAACAATGTACCAGACAGTACTTAAAATCCATAAAGATGTGACATGTGCCTTCAGCACAATACTACTGTACACGAGAGAAGAGATTATTTTGATTAATTTACTTTGATAATGTACGCCTGGACAACTTTGTTATTAATAAACTTATTAAATTTTAATATCTTTAGTAGTATCCTACCAGTTGTAATCCTGAAGCACTATTGAATCTTACTAAATTCTAATGGATAATTGGACCAGGATACTGACTACTTGTTACAACAACCCAGTAACAGGCTGGATGCTAGAAGGGCAGTCCGTTCTAGTATTCACTGGAGATCTCTATCATTATTAGATATCGCGTTTTTTGTAACAACGACTCTTTGAAGTCTGTCACCAAAAGGACAGAAGTTGCCACCCACTGTCTGAAGTCTACTATCGGAAAGACAAAAGCTATCACCCACTGTCTGAAGTCTTCACATGAAACGAAATAAGAATTCTGTCCGGGTGTTATTGTTTGTGTCTGGTTGTATACAAAACACGAAGGAGTACGATGTCGTTCTTTGAGTTCCTGCCCACTTGGTCATTGACCACAAGGAAAGAAGAGGCCTTTGTTTTACGTTCTCGCTCACACAGACGAACAGAAAAAATAGATCTTCTTGGGGGAGCTAAAAACCACATATATAATTTTTAAATGGTAAGATTAGTGGTTTTCGAATAGCATGACTAGGAGCCTATAATAAGAATTAACATTAGAAAAATGTAACTTAGCATAAAGCCATAGCGGACGGAGGAACGAGCCTTCACTCCTCCTTGTGCTAAGTAACCAACACGGGTGTAACCAATCCCATAAATAAATATAAATCTACCTTTGTCTTCCTTTGTCCTTCTTATCATTATTGTTTACTCGTTGAGATCTGGCGGAGCTGTTTCCAAGTATCATTTTTTATAAATCACAGTAAGCGTGGGGAT